AGACATACTCGTGACTATGGAATACACTACACCAGACATCCAGCGGTCATTGAAGGATACAGTGATGCTAATTGGATATCTAATATAAAAGACTCAAAGTCCACCAGTGGATATATGTTCACTTTGGGAGGTGCTGCCATCTCGTGAAAATCCTCTAAGCAAACGATTATAGCCAGATCTACGATGGAATCTGAGTTTATAGCCCTAGATAAATGTGGTGAAGAGGTCGAATGGTTGCGCAACTTCTTAGAGGATATTCCAAGATGGTCCAAACCTGTGTCTGCAATTTGCATAAATTGTGATAGTCAATCAGTAATAAGAAGGGCACAGAGTAACATGTACAATGGTAAGTCTAGACATTGAAGTCGTAGACAGAATACCATTAGACAACTACTCTCAAATGGAGTTATCACAATTGACTACGTTAGGTCAAAGGATAACATTGCGGATCCGCTAACCAAAGGGTTAAATAGAGAGTTAATTGGGAAATCATCGAAAGTAATGAGACTCAAGCCCTTGAAAGAATAAGTCATTACAAAGGAAACCCAACCTAGTTGACTGGAGATCCCAAGATCTAGGTTCAAAGGGACAACTTAAATGTAAAGACTTGATAAAATCACTCTGGGGGTATCACCTCCTGTCCATTCTTATGATATAAAGGTGATGCCCGTAAGGATGAAGGTTAAGTAATAGGCTTTTAATGATTCTTACGCGTCGAAAGTCAAACCAAGTAATGCGGGTTACTTGTAATAAGAAATCACCTATGTGAGAAAGAAGTGGGGCCGCTTCTAAGAGAATTGTGTGGGGCTCAATTCTTAGAAACTCTCACAGAACCAGACATATGTTCATGATCAAAACAAACATAATAATGAGAACTGAAGGGTGTTAGGAAGAATCCTGTGTGAAATATATCATCGTTTACACAAACGGCAGAACAGTTCAAAGACATCGCGTCTACTGGTCAGCCAGTAAAGTAAATATGCTTTCACAATGAAAGGTTCAAAGGGTAACACCTACATATTCTATGCAGGCTTCAACCGTTGAACTTTATCACCAAGTCTTATGTCTCACGTTTCGTGTCTCTCCCAATTTTCATTCATGTGGGGGATTGTTGGAAAAAATGAGTGAGCCGCTCACTTTTGGCACAATTTTTGGTGGGACCCGTTGGTCTAATTTGGAATATCAAAGTTGATATGTGTTCTTCTCTGCGAGAACATCGAAGTCATGTATTTATTTGCCAAAAATGAAGATCGGGTGAATAACAAATTGGAATTTAAATTGGACCATTGGAAATGATCTATGTTGGTGGGAAAACTATAGTTAACTTTGTCCCACACAGGAAAAACATGGAAACCAAAACTACTTTATATATAGCTATGTATTGGAATGGTGTGATCATGTGTAGCATTGAGGCTCTCTCCACGTGCGCGGGCAGGGGAGGTGCAAATCACGAACAAAAATAGCTTTTGGACCTTGAACTTGGGTGCGGACGCGACCTGTGCACACGAATGTCGGACCGAACGGAGGAAAAAACTGGCCAATTTGGATTGTCCGCGTTTTGCAAAATTTTTTTTGTGATTTTTCCAAATGACTTTTGAGTGTCTGAAACTCCTAAAACTCCAATGGTCGAAATCGAAGTGTAACTCCGAAAACTACAATGGTTAATGCAAAAACTAATTGTCAAATTCAGTCTGTATAATTTCACTTAACTTCCAGCAGTTTATATACTGTAATTTTCGTCTGCCTTCTTACGATTCTGTTTTCTGTTTTTGTTTCATCTCCTCCTGTATCCATTTCAGTAAGGTGATATTGTTCGAACACTCGTCCAGTTCGCCGGAGTAGAATCGCGGTACTCAGATTCTGCTGATTACCGTTGTATCCTGGAAGACAAGGGCTCGAACTAAACCTTTAGCACTACGGTGAGGGGGAGAATTTGTCTTAAGGAAACTGTGTTTACATAGGCCTCGGGGTTAAAAGTTTATTTTCAAATATATATGTTTCCAGTTTGAGTATCTGTGCTTTAATTATTTGTAGATTTACAATCTTTCAGATTTTATTTAGCTTTCTGAAATTTATATTGCTTTTATGTTTCTGCAAATAATATAATTTGTCATTCTTATTCAAGTAGTGATTTAGATAATAGTCTGTATCTAAGTAATTTGTCAAAAATAAAATTAAGAAAAAATTTATTTGAATTTTTTTTTCGAAATTGTGTTTGTGCAAATTATATGAAAACAAACACCAAATTCTATGTTATCTAAAGTCATTGTATGAAAACCAATAGTTGTGGAAATTCTGTGTTTAATTCTCTGCCAAATACGGTCACTGCCATATATGGTGACTGCCTGCCAAATACGGTGAGTTACACTGCCAAATAAGTTGCACTGCCAAATACGGAGAGCATTTGCCAAATACAGTAAGCAACTGCCAAATACAGTAAGCAATTGCCAAATACGGTAAGTGTGAATCCGATGTCTAAAACACAAATACGGTATATGAGAACCCGATTCCACTCCATA